ACTTAAATAAAAAAATAAGGTTAAAGATAGCCTGAAAATCCACTGAAGGGTCTTAAGAGACATGATTTAACTTTAAATTTTAACAGGATCACTCTGAAGGCTGTGAAGAATTGACCAAAGGTAGGGGCTAGAGGCAAAGCAAGGATTCCACTTAGGAGGTATTGCAGTAATGCCTACAAGAAATAAGGTGTTAACCTAGTGTTAACAGGGGAGGTGAGAGAAATAATCAAATTTTGGATAGATTTTGAGTATGATGAATATATCAGAAGGTAGTTCTAAAATTGGGCTTTGGATAGCATTTTAATATGTAAAAAGAAGACCAAAATAGTTCACAGACAGGAGGAACTGCTTGTAAAAAATTGTAGTTAAGCAAATAGGGTTTTAGGAAGAGTGAAATTATTGTCTAGATTAATGATTTCATTTTGGAGTTTGAGCTACTCCTACAGATGTAGGGTTTTTTAAATATGGATAATATGAAGTTCAAATTGTGCCAAAGGACTAGTCCAGCCCAACCTTAGGTAGGAGTTAGGGTGTGATTCCAATCTTAGTCCGAATAAACTGAAATAACCTGGGGGGAAGGCAGTTGGGTATTTCAAGCAGACTGAGCAAAATATGTAGTCTTAGGAATAAGTATAGCCTGATGGTTAAGAGCTAGGTTGCCTGAGCTCACATCAGTTACTATGTAAAGAAGGTATATTTCCACCTAATGTCAAATTAATAATCACTGGGTCAGTGTGAACTAGGAGTAAGGCAGACTGTCATCAGGCCAACTATCAAGAGTCAGGCAAATCTGCCAGAAATGCCTACCAAATTAGTTAGATCTTAATACCTATTGAGTATAGTATTAGGCTTAGGCGATCCACTCCAAAAGGTAAAGTAACACTAGCGTGTGTTTTTGTTCATCTTCGCAGGTTCCAGAACTTATAATACGGATTGCTATGAGTCATTTGTACAGGTGTCTTTTACTAAACATTACCGTTAACTGTCAAATGAATTCTAACTTTAACATTTTTTTGAAAAAATTCCTGGTGAACAGTAAAAAGCACTGTGGCTCAAAGATCTAAAAGACCAAGTTTAACCTAGGGTCTGACTTTTCTCGATGGCATGGTATTGGGACAATCATTTGACTTCTCGGAGTTTAAGCACACTCTGCGAAATCATAACAGTTTAATGTCATTTTAATTTCACAGTCACTTCAAGAAAGGTCCTAGTAAGCGCACGCTATAGTCAAGAGAAATCGTGGCTCAAAAGGGTTCGCGGTTAGCCCGAACACACCAAGTGGAGAGGCCCAGCCGGCAGGAAACCACTAAGTCTTCAGACACCATATGGCAACGGCTTTTATGGCACTGGGGACTAGAGGTTTCGGTACACTTCCAATAACAAGTGCAAGAGAAGAGAAGCCCAAAAGTCAGAACGGTTACCCGGTTTTCCCGGGAAACCTTGTCAATTCCAGGACCGCAGAGTGGAGACGAAGGTAGAGGTGGTAAACCGACCCAGCCAGCTGAACCCCATCGCGCTTGCGCAGGAGGACGGACGCAGCCGCAGACCACCACGCAGGCTCCGAGACATCCCACTTCCGGTTTTCCTGTCCCGCCCAGGCCCCACGGGGGCGGTGTCTTCCGGCCGGGATAAAAACTTTTTTTTTTAAAGATTTTATTTATTTATTTGAGAGAGAGAGTGAGAGAGAGCACGAGAGGGGAGAGGGAAGAGGGAAGAGGGTAAGAGGGAGAAGCAGACCCCCCGCTGAGCGGGGAGCCCAATGTGGGACTCGATCCCGGGACTCCAAGATCATGGCCTGAGCTGAAGGCAGTCGCTTAACCAACTGAGCCACCCAGGCGCCCCTGGCTGGGATAAAAACCCTAAGGCTACCTTGGCTTGAGAGTCCTTTAAGGATGTTGAGTACTATCGCTGTGGTGGGCTCACCATTCGAACCTTCCAGCCTGCCCTGACCTCTCACACTAGAGGCGCTTCCAGGGCAAGCAGAGATTTAGGCTTGATTTGTTTTTGTTGATAGGATGAAGCTAGGAATTGTAGAATTGCACTTACCGTAAATTTTTGCAGCTCTTGGGACTGCCTACAGTGAGCTCAAACCACTAGGGGCTGAGCCAGGCGGATTTTATTCTGGAAATGACGGGAGGAGTTTGGAATCCAATTCCTTAAGGATGTGGGAGTTCGGATCACTTTATAGTGTCTCTCCTAGAGAAGTGGTCTCATAAGACTGCAAAGGGGACTGTCCTTACACTCTGGCCCCTCTCCCTCTTACACATTTTCATTCAGAAGTCAAACCCACTGAGATGTTACCATTTTGCCTCAATGAAGATGTAAAGGAAAATTCTGTAACTAATACGATTTTACTCACTTGCTAGACTGGTACATTGTTAATGTCTATGACAACTGTGGATCTTTTTTTTTTTAATAGCCTAGTTCAGCCATTACAACATCAAAATGAAGTAATGGGGGCAAGAATAAACAACTTGGATATCAAGGAGTACCTGGAGAAGATTGATAGAGCAGAACTGGTATTCGTAAATTACTAAATTCAAAGCTCACACCTATAAAGATGATAGCAAATAGAGCCCCGTCAGGGGCCACTAATCATAATTCCATCCTAATTCAGTGTGAACAACAAAGTATTTTTTTTATTCAAAGAAATACACAAATTTGTGGGTGCCTGTGTTGGTTAAGGGACTGCCTTCGGCTCAGGTCATAATCCTGGAGTCCCAGGATGGAGTCCCACATCAGGCTCCCTGCTCAGGGGGGAGTCTGCTTCTCCCTCTGACCCTACCCCCTCTCATGTGCTCTCTCTCTCTCTCTCAAATAAATAAAATCTTAATATATACAAATTTGAAAAAAGTACTGATGTTATAGTGGTGGGATCATTAGTATTCATTTAAAAATGTCTTTGGGGAGGGGCACCTGGCTGGCTCAGTTGGTTAAGCATGAGATTCTTGATTTTGGCTCAGGTCATGATCTCAGGGTCCTGAGATCAAGTCCCTCATAGGTTTCCACACTCTGCATGCAATCGGCTTGGGATTCTCTCTCTCCCTCTGCCTCTGTGCCTCACCCCTGCTCACGCACAAAGTAAATAGTATCTTTAAAAAAGATGTCTTTGGTTACGTCGTTTTACACTGAGATGTAAAAAATAAGTGGTCAGGTCTATTTCCTACTCACATTCAATACTATTTGTTGCCAGCCAGTATGCTTCTTACAGACTAATTGTCCCCCCAAGTCATAGTAAGTAGTTAGGGAATACAATCCAATAAATAACTGTAATAGAATTCCCTTAAGTGCTGTAAACGTATAAGTATGTGGAATTTAGTACAAAGATTTTGTCTTTGGTTGTCAGAGGTGGCTTTCTAGAGAAAGAAATCTAGTTAAACTTGAAGGAGTGAAAATTAGCTAGATGAAGAGGAGGTCTCCATGAATAGGAAATATATGGAAAACCCTAGAGCTAAGCACATGCGGTGGATGGGAAGCTGGAAGCTGCTGCATGGCTGACACATGGAGTACAAAGGGTGTGGTGCAAGAGAACATTAGAATATGAAAGCCAAGGTAAGTCGTTTCAGAGTTTAGATTTCACCTAAAGGTTCACGGGGAGTATTTGAAAGGTTTAAGCATTTGTGTGCAATAATCAAAATTTGTATTTCAAAAAGATCCTCTACTGGCATTTTACAGAATTTCAAGGCACAGACGCTAGTTGAAGTAATGTGAGAGAAAGGATAGTAACCAGAATATAAATATAGCACCAGTAGGGATATACGCAGAGAGATACAAGGAAGAGTGAAGATTTGGTGAGCATATTAACTAAGGGTAGAGGGCAACCTGTGGTACAAAAGAAAACAACAAAACCAGGAGCTTCCACATGACTGAAGTTTCTTTCTCTCTAACCATCTGGAGGTAGATGGGTGGCCCAGGATTCCATTCCTAATACTGGCTTCCACCTGTAGTCCACTGCAGTTACAACAGTTTTCACAGTTCTCCAGCCAGCAGGGAGAGGGAAAGGTGTCAGGAGAATAGAATGATACCTAGCTGCTTGAAGGGCAAGACTTGGAAGTGACATACATCACTTCTGTTCACATCCCATCGACCAGGACTTACTAACAAGAGAGAAATTTAAAGTTGGGTGGCTATGTGGCCAGCTAAACTTCTGGAACAATGAAAATGAATAAATATAATATATAACTAGCAGAATGCCTTAGTAATTCATGGGATATGGCGTATGGGCACAGAGACAGGGGGCAGGTTTTTGAGAGTAGACAGTGGGCCATTCCCTCCACTGAGGCTGAATGGCAAAGATCTTCCTATTTGTGCCTTCTTCAGTTTCTTTTATCAATGTCTGATAGTTTTCAATGTACAGATCCTTCATCTCCTTGGTTAAATTTATCCATAGGTATGCAGTTTTAACTGCATAAAAAGAATAAAATACCTATGGATAAACTTAACAAGAAGGCACAAATAAGGAAGATCTTCCATGCTCATGGCTTAGAAGAATACTGTTAAAATGTCCACATTACCCAAAGAATCTACAGATTCAGTGCAATCCCTATCAAAATCCCAATGGCATTTTTCACAGAAAAAAAAAAAAAATCCTAAAATTTGTATGGAACCACAAAAGACCCTGAACAGTCAAAGCAATCTTGAGAAAGAAGAACAAAGCTGGAGGTATCACACTTCCTGACTTCAAACTATATTACAAAGCTATAGTAACCAAAACAGTATGGTATGGGCATAAACACAGACACACAGATCAATGGAAGAGAACAGAGTGCCCAGAAATAAACCCTCATATATATGTGGTCGATTAATTTGCTACAAAGGAGCCAAGAATATACAATGGGGAAAGGATAGTCCCTTCCATAAACAGTGTTGGGAAAACTGGACAGTCACATGCAAAAAAGGATGAAAATGGACCACTCTTATACCGTACACAAAAATTAAATAAAAAATAGATTAAAGACCTGAAACCATAGAACAAATGAACATAGAATAATTTTGCACATTAACTAATTGTAAGTGTTCACACTCCAGTATACCTTTTCTGTTTTTGAGTAAGATATGAGCTTTAACCAAAAGCCACCATCCTCATTCATTGGGAATCTCTCCAATATGAATATTTTGGGGCAGATTAAAGATAAATTTCTTGGCTCAGGATCTCAAAGGTAACTTACAGAAATAACTTATAGAACAAAGAGGAAACTAGTGCACAGAGTATTAAGACACTTTATTGACCTCTTAATGTTTGGAATAAATGACAGACCCAAGACTATGGATGTCCCTTGGCCTAGATCCCAAAGAGTACTTTTAAAAAAATGCAGATTTGACGACTATATATAGAATCCACTTCCCACTGCAGTTGATAATCCTCCTCCAATTCTAGTCCCCACTCAGCACTAGGACGGCCAAGGATATTATCATGGAGTAATTTGCCACTCCTGTGGTCTCTGCCATTAATTCAGAAAGTTCAGTCCTTAGAAGTATTCCTATATTCTTGTGAGCTCCTGGTTTCTCATGACCTTCTTGTAAGGACTGAAAGTTTGAGTTTTATTAAATATCAATTCCAAGGGTATTGCTTGGCTCCTCCCTAATATCTACGTCAATAAATCATGTGAATATAAGGATGCTATAGGTCCCATTTATGAACTAGGAATGATGATGGCAATGGATATCAGAATAATGATAGGCAAAGACTTGTATGGTGATACATTTAACTCATTGTGGCTTGTGGCTTCATTTGGGAACATATTCCTACCCAATAACAGATTTCTCTCCAATATTAGTTCTGTCATATCGATTAAAGAAGAATCCCTGACCCATGTTTTCTTGCATTTACTCTATTCACAGGATTCCCTCTAGTATAAATTCATTGATGTAGTTAATCGTGGGTTTCTTCCTTTTACAGGACTTCTCTTGAGTATGAAGTTTTTGGTGTTTTTTAAGATTTGAACTCCTGTTGAAAGTTTTCTCACATTCCTTACATTTGAATGGTTTCTCTCCTGTATGAATCATTTGATGTCGAATAAGGGAAGAGCTTCGGCTGAAGGATTTTCCACAGTTAACACATTCGTAGGGATTATCTCCAGAATGAAGTCTTGAATTTTTATTACTGTCTTCAGTCTCACTGAAAGCTTTTCTACATTTATTGCCTTCACAGACCTTTGCTTCAGTATGAATTTTTTGATGCTTAGTAAGGTTTGTACGTCTGTTGAAGAATCTCCCACATTCACTACATTTATAAGGTTTCTCTCCTGTGTGAATGATCTGATGTCGAATGAGGGATGAACTCCGGCTGAAGGCTCTCCCACATTGATAGCATTCATAGGAATTCACTAAGGTATGACTTTCTGGGTGATGAATATCTACACTCAGGCTCAAGGCATTCCCACATTCATTATATTCTGAATATTGCTTACCTGAGTCTAAATTAAATTTGAAGTTAGTTTTAAACTTACCACATTTTGAGGACTCTTTTCTCATAGGAATGCCTTGCTGTATACCCAAAATTGAATTAACTGACTTAACATCTAAACTTTTCTTATTCTCACTACCTTCAAAGTTTCCCACCTCAGTGTTCACTGTCTTATGAACAAAAGCTTCTTCTGGCAAATTTGGGTCCCAGTGTTCCTGGTTCCTATATAACCAATCATTGCTCATCCAAGCATCTAAAGAAGGGGATCCGCTTTTGGTCGGTCTTGTCATAATCACTCCAGGAGGTGATTCTTTTCCAGAAATTCTCTGCTTTGGAACTGAATCTTGGTTTTCTGAAATTACCTCTCTGTCTAAAAAGAAATAAAAAATTCCATGAACTAGAAGAAGGGAAATTGTTTAATTAGGAAAGGGATGCTAAACCACATAAAGGAATATGCATATTTATAGGCCTTAAATACAGAATGGAAATGTGAGGTGAGATTAGAAAAAGGAGAATTATAGAAGAAATAAAAGAGATAAAAGTATTAAAAGGGAGGTTAGGAGATCATAAAATATGAGAGCTATTCAGGAATATTAGAGAGAATACATAGGGCTTGGGAAAATATCCAGCATATGAACTGGGATGGGTGGCATATCATAGTTCAAATTATTACTGGTTCGTAACTAGTCTGTGTAGGTTATACCTAACCTTCCTTTCTCTAGCATCTTGTCTTTGTCTCTGTTAACCTATGCTGTTCATCAATAATAAATACACCCTTCTAAAATAGCAATTTAATCATATCTTTAAAAACATGTCTACATTTACAGGCACCACATCTTAACCAGCTACAACAAACTTGTAATCAGTGCTTCTATTTTCCATACAAGCTGCAATTATTCCCCTATTTAACAAAGGCAGAAAGAAAAAACTATGATGAGAAGTAGCAAAGAAACCACCCCTTTTCCTGGGCTCAAAATTGCTCCTGATTCTAACGGTGCTATGTTATTTTTCTGTGTATTTCCTAGAACTCAAAATTTTACCTGTTCCAGGTAAGATTCAGTTCTCTCGTTTTTACCCATCTTCAGTTTGTTTCATTTAATGTCTTACTTTCCTTCTCAAAATTCCTTTCTCACTTAGTTTCTGTATAAATATGTCCAATATACTATATATTCTAGCAATTTCTTAATAACTAAATTTCACTGACTCCCATTATCCTTCTGCACATAACTTGTTTTATCTAATGCTTTACTTCTACACTTTATTGGAAGCCAAAACACATCTTCAGCTTTGTATCTCACATATTTTTTTTTTTTAAGATTTTATTTGTTTATTTGAGAGAATGAGATACAGAGAGCATGAGAGCGGGGAGGGTCAGAGGGAGAAGCAGACTCCCCACTGAGCAGGGAGCCCGATGCGGGACTCGATCCCAGGACTCCAGGATCATGACCTGAGCTGAAGACAGTTGCTCAACAAACTGAGCCACCCAGGCGCCCTCACATAAATATTTTTTTTTTTACCTGTCTCCAAGACAATGCCACTTGGCTATCCTACTACTCTCTTCCAACTCAACAAATGAGACTGAGAATTTCCTCTTTCATGTAGAAAGAACTTCCCTCAATGTCCTCAGTTGTTCAGTGAGTCATTGTTCTTCTAATATTTACACTAGAGTCCACAAAGAGATCTTGAATAAACATTGCTCTTTATCCCTTGTATCTCTAATCTGCCCTGAGGTACTATTATTTTATGAAATGACTTTTGCCTCAAAGCAGCCCCACTGATGCATCCAACTTTGTCAAATACCTATTAATTCAGCCTGATTTAGTCTAATTTCTAGCAGAAATTATCTGTCTGTATAATACTCACACTGGAAACTAGACTATTAAAACAATCTCCTAGAGCAGAGCATAGGAATATAATGAGAGTACTGACTGTAGTTTGCCTGTTTCTGCCTTACCAGTGTATACTGGGTGTGTAGGCAGATAACCTGTAATTTAATTCACAGGTCTTCAGTGAGAGAGAAACCTCTTCAAACCTAGACCTAATTTAAGTTAGATGGTAAGATCCTGGACTTCAAGCCTGATGCCATAATGAGATGAGGTCTCTTAGGAGACAGTAAATGTATTTAACAAGGGGGAAAAAATAAAAGAAATAATTTGTGGCCAGAGGACAGACTATAGTAGATCAAAATGGCTGCACATTCATAAAAAACCCACAGCTAACACTGTACTCAAAGGGGGAAAAACTGAGAGCTCTTCCTCTAAGATCAGGAACAAGACAAGGATGTCCACTCTCACCACTGTCATTCAACATAGTACTGGAAGTTCTAGCAACAGCAATCAGACAAGAAAAAGAAATAACAGGCATTCATATTGGTAAATAAAAAGTAAAACTCTATTTACAGATGACATGATACTATATAAAAAAAATCCTAAAGACTCCACCAAAAAACTACCAGAACTGATAAATTAATTTAGTACAGTTGCAGGATACAAAATATACAGAAATCTGTTGCATTTCCATACTTTAAAATGAAGTAGCACAAAGGGAAATTAAGAAAACAATCCCAATGGGAGAGGAGGGGAGGGAAGGGGAGAGGGGGGAGGAAGCTACCAGTCCCATTTACAGTTGCACCAAAAAAGAATAAAATATGTAGGGGAGGTGGGTGGAGGGATGGGGTAACTGGGTGATGGGCATTAAGGAGGGCACCTGAAGTAATGAGCACTGGGTATTGTATGAAACTGATAAATCACTAAATTCTACCTCTGGAACTAATTATATAGTATATGTTAAGTTGAATTTAAATCAAAAATAGAAAAAAATGTAAAAAACAGAGGAATAAATTTAGCCAAGAGTCAAAGACCTATACTCTGAAAACTATAAAACGCTGATGAAAGAAATTGAAGATGACACTAAGAAATGGAAAGATATTCCACACTCATGGATTGGGGGAACCAGTATTGTTAAAATTTCTAAACTACTCAAAGCAATTTACATATTTAATGCAATCCCTATCAAAATACCAACAGCACTTTTCACAGAACTAGAACAAAGTATCCTAAAATTTGTATGGAACCAAGAAAGACCTTGAATAGCGAAACCCAATCTTGAAAAAGAAGAACAAAATTGGAGGTATCAAGACATACTATGCAAAGCTGTAGTAATCAAAACAGAATGGTACTGGCATAAAAAAAAAAAAAAAAGACACGTAGATCAATGGAACAGAGAGCCAGAAATAAACCCACAGCTTTATGATCAATCTATGACAAAGGAGGCAAGAATATACAATGGGAAAAAAACGGTCTCTTCAACAAATGGTGTTGGGAAAACTAGACAGCTACATGCAAAAGAATGACACTGGACCCTTTACTTACACTATATACAAAAATAAACTCAAAATGGATTAAAGACCTATATGCAAGACCTGAAACCATAAAATTCCTAACAGAAAACATAGGCAGTAATTTCTCTGACATTGGCCATAGCAGTATTTTTCTAGATATGTCTCCTTTGGCAAGGAAAACAAAAGCAAAAGGAAACTATTGAGACTACACCAAAGTAAAAATCTTTTGCACAGTGAAGGAAACTATCAACAAAATAAAAACAACCTACTGAATGGGAGAAGATATTTTCAAATGATATATCCAATAAAGGGTTAGAATCCAAAAGAACTTATAAAACTCAACATGAAAAAACAATCCAATTAAAAAAATGTGCAGAGGACCTGATAGACATTTTTCCAAAATAGACATTAGATGGCCAACAGATACATGAAACAATGTTCAACATCACTCATCATCAGAGAAATGTAAATCAAAACCACAATGAGATATCATCTCACACTGGTCAGAATGGCTAAAATCAGAAACACAAAAAATAAGAGTGTTGGCAAGGATGTGGAGAAAAAGGAACCCTCTTGCACTGTTGGTTGGAATGCACACTGGTATAGCCACTGTAGAAAACAGTATGGAGTTTCCTCAAAAAATTAAAAATAGAAATTCTGTATGATCTAGTAATTCCACTAGTGGGTTTTAGCCAAAGAAAATGAAAACACTAATTCAAAAAGATATATGCAACCTTATGTTTACTGCAGAATTATTTACAATACAGAAGCAACCACAATGTCCATTCATAGAGGAATAGATAAAGAAGATATGATATATATAGGGGTGTGTGTGTGTGTGTGTGTGTGTGTGTGTGTGTGTGTGTATGAAGAAAGAGAGTCTTAAATATAATGGACAAACTGGTGCTTGCCAGAGGTAAGGTGAGTTGGGGGAGAGGTGAGGACAGAAGAGGATTAAGAAGACACTCATGATGAGCACGGAGTAATGTACAGAATTGTTGAATCATTATATTGTACAGCTGAAACTAACATAACACCAGACATTAATTATACTTGAGTAATAAAAAGAAATAGATGTACATTCTTTGGCACCCTCCCATAGAGAAGTGGGGTTTTTCTTCCTCTTGAAAATGGGCTACTTCTGTGACTGCTTAGCCAACAGAATACGGTAGAAGTGATACCATGCCACTTCTGGGCCTGGCCTTTAGGAGACTGACAATTTTGAATTCCTCTCAGGATAGTCCCAGAACCTGGCTGGCATGCTATGAGAAGTCCATGCCTCAAGAAGAGGCCACATGAAGGTGCTCTGGTCCACAGGACCAAAGTTCCCAGTGACAGCCAGCATCAACTTCCAGCCATGTGATAAGCCATCTTGACCATCCCATCCCAGCAGAACACTGTATCCTCAGTCAACACCATATGGATCCTGAGAACTCCTACGTCAACTCACAAAATTGTGAATTAATAAAATGATTGCTGTTTCAAGTCAGTAAGTTTTGGGGCAATTTGTTAGAAACAATAGGTCACTGAAACAGAAGTTGTTCCAGAAGTATTTACTGAGTGACAGAATTCCTAAATGTATTTCTCTAAGCAAATCTCTGATGTTCTCTTATTTCTAGGACTCATTTTTCATATAACTTCTTTACTCCTATTTTTAAAGTCACTTTCATGTATTTTGTTATTTTCAAATCACTTAGTTCTAACATAGAGGAAAGCTACCAATATTTTTATTTTATATCTGGCCACCTTACAAAACTCTTAACAGATATAATAGTTTTGACAATGAGTTTCTTGGATTTTCTAAGTAGAAAGTTACCGTTTACAAATAATAGCCTTTTTTCCTCTCTTCTACTAATTAAATTTCTCATTTTTTTTTCATTTATCAGTGACGTCTTTCAGGTTAACATTAAATAATTATAGGAACAGTCTTATCTACTGATTTTAGTGGAAACACCACTGTTTACCTTTACACCCATGATTTGTTCGCCTTTTGCACTAAACAGATTTTGAGTCAATGTGTTATTCCTATTAATCCCAAACTCACAAACTATGCTTTACCTACAAGACTTTGTTCCTGTCTCTAAACTGAAACAAAAATGAACACGTTAAACCTGAGCCTGTCATCCCAATCCTGGGTGCCTGCTCACAACTCCCCTGGAGACCAGCCATGCCAAACCATCTCTGCCTTTCCTTGGCCTAGGTGAGTTTCCCCCCAACTTCTCAAATCATTCCAATGGCTTATCTGTGTTTACAGATTAAAATCCACAGGATTCTTTTTTCACAGGTTTTGACCAGTTAATTAAGCTGTCCAAAATTTGGTTTTATATTCTCTATCCAAATTTACCTTAAACTGTTTTTAATAACCTTGGGTCATTAGCACTTAAATCTAGATGTGCCTCTGATCATCTGATGAGCCTTTAAAGAACATATGTGTATGTATGTACATTTCATGTGGCTATGCTAGGCTTCTCACAAACGGCAATGTCAAGCTAGCTGAAGTAGTGGCTGCTAACTTCCAAGAGAAAGAAGTGGCAGCTCCAGGTCCTATTACAGGCTAGACCTGGAACCAGCAGTGTCACCTCTGCTCCATTTTCTTGATCCAACAGTCCGCTGAGATTCAAACGGCGGGCAAACAAAGTCTGCCTCTTTTTTTTTCTAACTGAAATATAGTTGACACACAGTGTCACATTAGCTTCAGGTGTACAAAGGCTACATTTTGATGGAGAGAGTGACAAAGATTCTGCAGCCACCTTTAATCCACTGTAGTCTATTAACTGTTTTGGTAAATAAGCTACATTTACTGAGGTAAATTCTAGGTAAATTCCAGATTGACTTAAGTATTACTTAAATGAGGAAATAGATGAAATCAGAATAAAATCAGGAAATATATTTCTACTTTGGGTATGGAAAAATTCTTATGCCTAGAACTAACAGATAGAAAGCACTGGGGGGAAGATACGTGATAAAATAAATTTAAAAATATGTATGGCAGGCACCATAAACAAAATAATAAAAAAACTTCAGTGATATTTCATTTGCTGTAACTGTGATCAATAGTGGGAATTTCCATGAGATCTTACTTAAAAACCTCTAAAGTCTTAATAAAGGACATAAAACCATTTACTGAATCACAAATGACCAAAACAAATAAGATAATTTTTACCTTTCTCATAATCCAATATTTATCTATCCAGTTTTTTCCTTTGGTTCCTATAAATGTGCAAAAGCTTGAGATATAAAGGTAGGGCAAAAAGAGACACGGTCCCCACCCTCAAGGAACATAAAGCCTAATGTGGGAGATAAAGACTTAAACAGATGCAAGCAAAATATAATTGTGATAAATGCTAAAAAGATAAGATTATGGTCATATGGGAGAATATAACAGAAAAAAACGAATCAAGACAGACTTCCCTGAGGAAATGTAAACTCTTTGAGATCAGAAGGAAGATGAGGAATCAACCAGGCAAAGAATAGAAGAACGAGCATTTTATGTAAGGAAACCACATGTACAGAGGCCCTGAGATGGATGGCAAGCCCCACTCAAGGGACATCTGGAATGTGTGTCTTGTGGAACTCTTTTCTCTGCAGTCCTCCAACCCCTATCAGAGTGCTTAGGACCCAGAAGATGCTATTACACATTTGATGCTGATGGGAAGCAGAGCAGTGTGGTTTGTGTGCAAAGAGCGAGGGGAGGATGCAGTGTGAGGCGAGATTGGAAAAAGAGGTAGGGACTAGTGTATTCTGAAGCAAGCAAAACTGCAGTCAGCATAGCGATTTAAGCAAGTACGTGACAGAATTTGATTTTTTTGATTGCAATGTGGCTCAAACACTGGAGTTGGGGAAAAGAGCAAAGAGGCATGGCAAGATCTTTCAGTACGATGAATTAAGAGACTGCAGGGATAGCTGAGATGAGAGACGGTGATGGTACATGGACTAGGGTAGTGGCACTACAGATGGAAAGAAGTGGAGACATTCCAGGGATATTTAGAAAGATAAAACCAAGTCTTAAGTGAAGGAGAAGTTGTGTCAAGGATAATACACTATACTTGTGTAACTGGATGGATGGCAGTGCCATTCGCTCAGGGAACAGTGGAGGAAGACTGGAAAAAGTTACGATTTTGGTTTTGTAGAGCTGGAGTCATCTTTAAGACATCCAAGAGAAATGTCACGTGTCTATAAATTTTTCAATTCGGAGAAGAAGCCTGGGCTGGGGACACAAATTTGTAAGTCACCTACACGTGTGTAGTAAGTGAAGCTGCAGTTGTGGATGTGATAACCTAGAGAAGAAAAGAGCGTAAGAAAAGAAGACAAAATGAGACCACATGTCGAGAAACTCTGAAATTAGAGCTAGAGAAAGAGAAGTCTCCACCAGACTGAGAAAGGCCAGAAAGAGGAGGAAAATAGGATGCACTATAAGAACCTATGACTGTTTTAAGAGTGAGGAGCAGGTAATGTAAGACAAGGAATGAAAAAATATCCACTGGACTTAGCTACAAGAAAGTCTTCTACAACCTTAGTAAGGACTGTTTCAGATGGAGATCTGGAATAAGAACTAAACTGGAATGGGGTGAGGAATAGAAGGTGAGGAAATGAGAAAAGTAAAAAAATATTTTGAGAAGATTGGCTATAAAGAGGTTCGTTGAGAGAAAAATTTTTTAAATCAGTAATGACCTGAAAATGTTGAAAAACTAATGGGAAGATGAAAAACTAATTACCATTTACCAGAAATGGTAAAAATGTAAGTGAAAGAAGGCAGGGAGAAATGGGGTCCAAAGGAAAGGGGGGGGGGGGGTGGGGGACTTTACCTCAGAAAGGAAGAAATTGAATAATTTGGCTATCAAATCAATAAAGATTTCAGTAAACAATAGGGTGCTAGACTGATAATAGATAATACGTTATTAGTGACAGTATGGATTGGTATAACCTTTCTGTAGACAATACAGCACAATGTAAGACTGTTAAATATATTCATGCCCTTTGATGCTGAAGTTTCTCTTCTAACAAGGTATATCTTATGTAGAACTTATCAGATATGCCTGAAAACTTGGCAACAACCTGAATGGCCAACAGCTGAGGGGGAATGGTTAAATATATTATGATACATGTATACGATGGCATGTTACATGTGAATTAGAAACCACATTTTCACACACTATTTAGTGACACAGGTAATTGCCTATGGTATCATATTAGGTGAGAAGAGCAGAATATAAAGTAGCATATCCCTGATGATCCCAATTTTGGAAAAAAACAAATCTTCACAAGCCACAGAGACACATCATCACAAAAAAGTCTAAGAAAATAAATCAAAATGTTAATACTGCATAGCTCTGGGGAGTGAGGTAAGGGGTGAGCTCTATTCCTCTTCATACTTTTCTATATGTACTAAAATTTACATTAAGCACACAATAATTGATCATCTCCCACAAACAAAATGTTAATAAGAACAAAGAGATTACATGAAGGTAGAAAGTTAGGGCACAAGAAGTTCGATAGTAAACGAAGGAAAAATGGAAAAACGAAGATTACTAAAGTCACTCTGTATAAAGTTTTCTTTAAAAGAAAGAATATGATTTCATGCTGGGTTGGCTAATGTTTGTTTACGTAGCACTAACCACATGCCAGGCACCGTTCTAAGGGTGCTACCCATATGACTCACTTAAGCCTCACAGGAATGTAGAGGTAAGTACTGTTATTAACTCCATGTTACAGATGAGGAGAATGGCAGGTAGGTTGCTCTGGGCCACGGAGCTTTAAAAGTGTCTGTGTTCCTCACCTGCAACATTCTTCTTCTTCTTCTTCTTCTTTTAAAGATTTTATTTATTTATTTGAGAGAGAGTGAGAAACAGCATGAGAGGGGAGAGGGTCAGAGGGAGAAGCAGGCCCCCTGCTGAGCCGGGAGCCCGATGTGGGACTCGATCCCAGGACTTCAGGATCATGACCTGAGCCGAAGGCAGTTGCCCAACTGACTGAGCCACCCAGGCGCCCATCACCTGCAACATTCTTTTGCCTATCCACTGAAGAAAAAGAATCTGTGAACGACTGTTATTAACTCCATGTTACAGATCAGGAGACTGGCAGGTAGGCTGCTCCGGGCCACACAGCTTTAAAAGCGTCTGTGTTCCTCACCTGCAACATTCTTTTGCCTATCCACTGAAGAAAAAGAATCTGTGAACGAAAGGCAATGTGACTTTTTTCCTTCAAAGCTTCGGCGGTTTTGTCGTCGCCTCCCCGACTCTTACTCAAAGGCTGTTAACAGTACACTGTGTGTTTAACAAACAGAAGCTTCTTATGGCTGCCTCATATCTGCCTGGTTCTTACCCAAAACAGATGTGCTTGGGATTTCTTGCTCCACTGCCCATCTTCTTTCCTTACTCTCCAGCTTGGAGATCTCAACTGGCTTGTAAAGTAGATGTTCTGTTCATGGGGAAATTGAAAAAACAACAAACAGACACCTCAGCCATTTTTATAGGGAAGAGATTCCATCCCTCAGTAGTTCTCTAAGAGCTGCTGAAAGATAAGGCCAGCAGTCACCACGGATCTGGGTACATCTAGCTCTCCAACAGAAAGGACTTCCACTCAGATACACAGCAGGAAAATCTGCGATCGTGCCCAAAGAATATTAGGAAACCCAAACCAAAGTGCCCTTAACCGCTGCAGTCGTCTTCTAGCTTTTAGCAGCAGGTGAAGAGACCACTGACAGGCAGAGGAGGTAAATACACAGAAGCCACCTTGATGCACTGAATTCAGGTTCCTGTAGTTCTCCAGCATCACATCCCTGTACAAGGTCTTCACAGCAGGGTCCAGTTGTCCCCACTCTTCCTCGCTGAATTCCACAATCACATCTTTGAATGTTATTGATTCCTAAAACATTAAATTTTTTAATCAAAGGTCACTCCCAAAAAGATTACTAGAGGAGAAAAGAATCTGGAAAGAACAGGGTAGGCCGTCAGAATACGTAAGAAACTGACAAATGTTTGGGGTTCTAAGTGATGAAAATCAAGTTATACTAGAGGCCTACCAACTTGGCACTCTGTGAGGGCTGCCAAAGGAAAATCAAGTGCAGTCCTAACCCTAAATTAACTTTTATTTTGGTTGATGAAAAACAAAAAGACAGTTGGAATAATTGTGGAACAAAAAATTACTACAGAGTAAAAATACCTGACAGAAGAGGAGTTCAGAAGAGGAGGAGTTTCAGATAGATTTGAGGGGAATTTGTAATGAAGATAGCTAGCAGCAGACGTAGGGCATTTTCTCTGAGAAAGGCAGCCTGCTAACTCATTCCCATTCGGGTCAGGCAGTCCTTTCCTGATTACCCAAAACGAAGTAGCCACCCCCTCATCAGTCTACTGCATTATGTTTCTTTCTCTTCTTTGTAATAATTATTACTACCTGTGCTTGTCGGCCTGTGTGCCTGTCTGCCTCTACTGGCATCACCACAGAGGATTTCCTTTTGTTTCTCCTCAGCAGTGCAGGTCAGACACGACATAAGTATTTTTCTTTTTTTTATTTTTTTAAAGAGTTTATTTATTTATTTGACAGAGACAGCGAGAGCAGGAACACAAGCAGAGGGAGTGGGAGAGGGAGAAGCAGGCTTCCCGCTGAGCAGGGAGCCCGATGTGGGACTCGATCCCAGGACTCTGGGATCATGACCTGAGCTGAAGGCAGCTGCTTAACGACTGCGCCACCCAGGTGCCCACAACATAAGTATTTAGGAGGGCCTTCACACCGTCATGCGTTGCACTTCCCTCTCTAGCATTCCCAACCTTGTCGTGATGGGCACCTTCAGTCACAATGAAATACACATCTCTCCCCTCCCTCTACTGCAGAGCCAGACAACTCTAAGACATCGGATGACTCTAAGTAAATCATCTATGTTAGTTTTGCCTCCTTCCTCACCTTCTTCCCTCAACCCTCTGCAACCTGGCTTTTTTTTTTTTAAAGATTTTATTTATTTATTTGACAGAGAAAGACAGCGAGAGCAGGAACACAAGCAGGGGGAGTGGGAGAGGGAGAAGCAGGCTTCCCGCTGAGCAGGGAGCCCGATGTGGGACTCGATCCCAGGACCCTGGGATCATGACCTGAGCCGAAGGCAGACGCTTAACGACTGAGCCACCCAGGCGCCCTGCAACCTGGCTTCTATTCCCATGCATGGTAGTATCTCCGTGATGGTTAAGGGACTGGGTATATTCAGGCTGAATTTTCCTGAATTTTTTTTTTTTTTTTTTTTTATTCATGAGAGACAGAGAGAGAGAGAGGCAGAGGGAGAAGCAGGCTCCCGAGGAGCAGGGAGCCCGATGCGGGACTCGATCCCAGGACTCTGGGATCATGACCTGAGCCAAAGGCAGACGCTTAACCATCTGAGCCACCCAGGCACCCTGAATTTTCCTGAATTTTTAAAGCATTTATCCTTGAAATACTCTCATCCTTGGCTTTCAGTGACATGGTATCTTTTTGGTTTTCCTCTACCACTTTGATGCTTTCATTTCAGTATCCTTTGGGGTTTCTTCTGCTCCTGCCTATTCAGTGATGTTACTCAGGATTCTGCCCTTGGCTCCCTTCACTTTTAATTTTAAACATTCTCTGGTGGGCTCTATTTCTATGGCTTTGATTGTTGTCTACAACCCTAAGGGAACAGATGCACAGAAAAATACAAAGATTAAGTATTTTCCAAAGTGTGTATCATCAATTAAAATAAAATAGATCCAATGTCCTATGGGAGAAGTAACAGTCTTACGTCCTTAAATGGACCTATATTTAGCAAAAGTTCAAAAGTGGAAAAAGAAAAAGCAGATCATTACAGTAAAGAGTAGGAATCCTAATTCACCTGAGAATTGCCAGTTAGTGAGTCAGTTTCCATTTTCTCCTTGATGTTCCCCTTCTGCAGGATGACACAATCCTTGCAGGGTATCTCTGAGGAAGATGAAAGAAAACATTAGGGAGACAAGATTTGCCCTGGAGAAACATTTAATGATTATAGTAGTCATTTTAACATGCTATTCATAGGAATCATCTTTAGAGCTTTGGAAAAATAACGATGTCAGGCCCTACCAGCAATCAGAATCTCCAAAGGTGGGGCTCAGATGTTAAAGTTTTTAAAAACTCTAAAAATGGGGCGCCTGGGTGGCTCAGTTGGTTAAGCGACTGCCTTCGGCTCGGGTCATGATCCTGGAGTCCCGGGATCGAGTCCCACATCAGACTCCCCGCTCAGCGGGGAGTCTGCTTCTCCCTCTGACCCTGCTCTCTCTCTCTCTCTCTCTCTCTCAAGTAAATAAATAAAATCTTTGAGGGGCTCAGATGTTAAAGTTTTTAAAAACTCTAAAAATGGGCACCTGGGTGGCTCAGTGGGTTAAGCGACTGCCTTCGGCTCAGGTCATGATCCTGGAGTCCCGGATCGAGTCCCACATCGGGCTCCCTGCTCGGGGGAGAGTCTGCTTCTCCCTCTGACCCTCCCCCCCTCATGTTCTCTCTCATTCTCTCTCTCAAATAAATAAAAATAAAATAAGAGCTCTAAAAATGATTCTGATATTCTACCAGAAGTTGAAGTATCGGATCAGGGAGAAGAAGGCCAAAATAATATTTTGAGGCTTCATCTGTGGCTACAGCAGATTCCACAAAATAACTTTAATTCTGTCCTAACTAAAGTCTGTAGCTTTGTAGTAAGTTTTGAAATTAAAGTACGCATCCTTAAAGTTTGTTCTTCATCAAGGCTGTTTGGTTATTTGGACTCCTTTGTAACTTCATATGCATTTTAGGATCAGCTTGTCTATTTCTGCAAAAAAAGGTAGCTGGAATTTTGCTATGAATTGCATTTGAAACTGCAGAGCGCTTCAGAGAGTATTATCATCTTAAAAACATTAAGTCATCCAATACATGAACACAGGCTGTCTTTTTAAAATTATTTTTAATGAAAAAAATTGACAGGTAACCCAGTCTCAGGGATCCCAAGGGCTGCTGACGGGCTCTGCAGGTCTCTCGGGGTGCTCAAAGGGCAGAAGGCGTGAACTCTGAACGAGTCGTCTTCCATTGGAACTGTGGAGACTGGGGCGGGCAGTTGTAAGTAAATGCCTTATGGCTTTTGCTATGAAATCTTAAAAAAAAAATTCACATATTGTGACCCATGTATTTTAAACCCATGTTGTTCAAGGATCAACTGCATAAGAACAGATCATATAACAGTAAAGATAGCTTTACTTCTTCCTTTCCAATTAGGATGCCTTTTATTTCTTTTTCTTGTTTGTTGCACTGGCTAGTACCTCCAGTATAATGTTGAACAGACGTGGCCAGAGTGGGCATCCTTGTCTTGTTTCCTTATCCTAAGGGTAAAGCTTTCAGTCTTTAACCATTAAGTATGATGCTTCCTGTAAGTTTTTCATAGATGCCCTTTATCAGGTAGAAGAAATTCCCTTCTATTCCTAGTATGTTGAGTGCTTTTATCATGAAAGGGCACTGGATCTTGTCAAATGCTTTTTCTGTATCAAGAGGACCTTGTGTGCACCTGGGTGGCTCAGTCGATTAAGTGTCTACCTTCAGCTCAGGTCATGATCTCAGGGTCCTGGGATAGAGTCCCATATCAGGCTCCCTGCTCAGCGAGTAGTCTGCTTCCCCTTCTCCCTCTGCCCCTCCCCTCCACATTCACATTGTTTTAAGCCACTGACTTTGTGGTCATTTGTTATGACAGTAATAGAAAACTAATATAACTAACTACAAATAAGCACCACAACTCCTTCTCTGAAACTGTTATAAAGCTTAACAATTACTTCATAATCAACAATTTCAGTAAATTACTTTCAATATTCATCTTAATAGGAGAAGCTTTTTGTCACAGCATTGCTGAACACTCCCTTCTTGAAGATTTCTCTTTTCTTAGCTCAAGATACTAACATTTCTTGGTTCTCTGATGTCCTAGATTATGCTTTTCTAGCCTGCTTACCTGGCTTTTCTTCTTCTGTTTAATCCTTTATTTCTTTTTCAAATAAGGACTAAATATAGCAACAATATCATCACTCTCCCCAGTCAATAATTCCTTGTCAAATATCCAATCAACTGCCCTATGACTTACAGGGTTCACACATTCATGTGATTGGCTATACATCTTTTACATTTAATTTCTAAATCCCTCGTCCATATCCCCACTTCTCCCTTAAAATTATTTTGTTCTAGAGGGGTGCCTGGGTGGCTCAACAGGTTAAATGTCCAACCCTTGATTTCAGCTCAGTTGGGACCTCAGGGCCGTGAGATGGAGCCCCAGGCTGGGCTCTGTGCTCAGTGCAGAGTCCGCTGGAGATTCTCTGTCCCTCTTTCTCTCTCGCTCTCCCTCTCACCCTGCTTGTGCATGCGTGCTCTCTCTAAATAAATAAAATCTTAAAAAAAAATAAAACTATTTTGTTTTAGACACTGGATTATCTTGTAGTTTCCCAGAGTTTAGATTTTACTAATGGCATTCCCATGATATAATTTAACATGTTCCTCCATCCTTTGTATTTCCTGTAATGGGTACTTAGAGCTATAATAGCCTTTAAATATTGATGCTCCCTAAGGGTATGTATTTCTCCTACTTCTGTTCATACCTGTAACTTTCCAAACCCATAGAGATCTCAAATTCAACACGCCACATAATTACTGTATAAATCCCCTCCCATAAAATCTGCTACTTATGCCCATTCATGTATGGCAGAACATGCACATTTACATCAAATCTTATCCCACTCACACCTTATATGCAGTCCATAATTCCTTTAGGTTCAAACTCCTGTTTTCCCAATACTCCCTCATCCTTTAACACCTCACCTATCTTAACTGATTTTCCTGTTTTCAGAGTCCTCAGGTCTATCCTTTAAACAAGATGTTGATAAACTTTTTCTGTGAAGATCCAGATAGTAAATATTCTGGGTTTTGTAGGCAATACAGTCTCTGCTACAACTAATCAACTCTGGTCATGGCATGAAAGCAACTGTAGACTAAATGTAAATCAGTGGGCATGGCTGTGTTCCAAAAACACTATCTCCAAAAACATTTGGCCTTTGGGCCATAGTTTGCCAACCACTACTCTATACTGATATCAAAATTATATTTTATTTTTTTAAAAAGATTTTATTTATTTGACAGAGAGAGACACAGTGAGAGAAAGAACACAAGCAGGGGGAGTGGGAGAGGGAGAAGCGGGCTTCCTGCTGAGCAGGGAGCCCGATGCGGGGCTCGATCCCAGGACGCTGGGATCATGACCTGAGCCGAAGGCAGATGCTTAACAACTGAGCCACCCAGGCGCCCAAAATATTTTAAAAGGCAAATCAAATCATTTTACTCCCCTACCCATGCTGTGAGATCTCATTCTCTATTTCCATTTCCTACAGAATAAAATCCGTGCTTCCTTAAATAGTAAAGTCCTTCATGTTCTGGCCCTTGACACCCTCTTAGCTTCAGAAAAAGATAATTTCTTTTCCTTTCTTTTTTTTTTTTAAAGATCTTATTTATTTGACAGAGACATAGCGAGAGAGGGAACACAGGCAGGGGAGTGGGAGAGGGAGAAGCAGACCTCCCACTGAGTAGGGAGCCTGATGTGGGGCTCGATCCCAGGACCCTGGGATCATGACCTGAGCCGAAGGCAGATGCTTCAGGGGCACCAACCTCCTGCGCAGTTGGAGATCTGCATATAACTTTAGACTCCCCCAAAACTTAACTACTAATAGCTGACCACTGACCAGAAGCCATACCAATAACATAAGCAGTCTAATGCATATTTTATATATATATATATATTACATACAGTATTCTTACAATAAAGTGAGCTAGAGAAAAGAAAGTGTTAAGAAAATCGTAAGAGAAAATACATTTACAGTACTGTGCTGTATTTATTGAAAAACACCCATGTATAATTGGACCCACACAGTTTAAACCCATGTTGTTCAAGGGTCAACTGTATTAGCTTCAGGTGTACAATGTAATGGTTCAATATTTATGTATATTGCAAAATGACCGCCACAATAAGTCTAGTTAACATCTGTCACCATATATAGTTACAAAAAGTTTTTTCTTGTAATGAGAGCTCTTTAAGATCTAATGTCTTAACAACTTTCAAATATGCAATACAGTATTATCCACTATAGTCATTACCCTGTACATTACATCCCCATGACTTATTTTATACCTGGAAGTTTCTATACCTTGTGACCCTCCACCCATTTTGCCCATCCTCCCCCCCCCCCCCCCCTGGCAACCACCAATCTGTTCTCTGTATCTATGAGCGCTCATTTCCCCCCCTTTTTTTTTAGATTCCACATAAAGGTCAACTATTATTCTACTGCCAATTTTCTACATTCTCACCTTCATCTTTAAGCATTTCAATCACATCCTCTATGAGGGTCATCACTTCTTTGCTGTTCCTTGGATGTTGTAAATTCACCCACGTCCTGATGTCTTCAGGGAGAATTGTCAGAAATTGTTCTAGCACCAACAGTTCTAGGATCTGCTGCTTTGTATGAACCTCTGGTCTCAGCCACTGAAGACAGAGCTCCCAGAGTTGGCACAGGGCTTCATGAGGCCCAGACACTGCCAAATACTGGAAATTTCTGAACCTTTGACGAGAGGCCTCAGAGTCGTAGGTTTCCATGACTGGGATGGATTCCTGTTGCCAGGACACATCTGCTCTCAGGGCCTCACTTTGTTCATGTAGAATCAGGTTTTGAGGTTTTGAGATAGCCATCAACTTGTTCAGAGCCTGCATCTTCCTGGCCAGAACTCCCACTGTAGTTTGAATTTGTCTAACTAGAGGATTATAGTAATTCTTGGGCTTGGGCTAAGCACTTGTGTACAATATATGTGCAATGTGATTTCAGCCAAGTTCTATCTCAATAAGAGAAAAGTTCCAGGAGCGTCAGACAGAAAGCCAACATTCAGGTACCTGAGAGAATGAAAAAAGACACCAATATGACCTATATTTAATGAACATGTTTTAGCATAGTGTTAAAAGATAAAGTAATACAAATAATATTCTTAAAATTGTCTAATATAAATATTATGGATTATTCTTCCATTCTTGTTTCCCTTTTTTATAACAAAAAAATATACTGTCTCTTTCCCTTCACCACCCATCAAAAAGAAAACAGACATCACACAAAAAGTGATAAATTAAACAGTCCTTTTAAAACAAACCTCATAATTTAATTGCAATTAGATTTCTCCTGTACCAGGTGACAACACATTTTTGCTTTATTTTTAAAAAATTTTATTTAGTTATTTAACAGAGAGAAAGAGAGAGAGCACAAGCAGGGGGAGTGACAGGCAGAGGGAGAGGGAGAAGCAGACTCCGGGCTGAGCAGGGAGCCCAACGTGGGGCTCAATCCCAGGACCCTGGGATCATGACCTGAGCCAAAGAGAGACACTTAACCAACTGAGCCACCCAGGTGCTCCAACACATTTTTGTTTTAAAACTAAGCAAAACACATTTTCAGAAGTCAAGTTATTAAGGCTTTATACTATCGATACCTAAAAAATACTCACTAAAATATCAATAAGATTCTATAAAAAGAGTAAAATTGGAAATACCACTAGAAATTAAGTTACGAAACAATTATTTAAAAAATAATGTGAGTCATTTCATTGTCAGGGATAAATCAAAAAGTACATTTCAATGACACAAAAACAGACACATAGGTCAACGGGTAGAGAGCACAGGAAAAAACCCATACCTATGTGGTTAATTAATCTATGACAAGGGAGGCAAGAATACACAATGGGGAAAGGACAGTCTTTTCAATAAATGGTGCTGGAAAACTGGACAGCTATAAGCAAAAGAATGAAACTGGACCACTTTCTTACACCATATACAAAAATAAACTCAAAATGGACTTAAAAACCTAAATATGAGATCCGAAGCCATCAAACTCCTAACAGAAATACAGGCAGTAATTTCTTGGACATCAACCTTAGCAACATATTTATGGGTATGTCTCCTCAGACAAGAAAAACAAAAGCAAAAATAAACTATTGGGACTACAACAAAATAAAAACTTTTGCACAGTAAAAGAAACCATCAACAAAACAAAAAGGCAACCTACTGAATGGGAGAATATATTTGAAAAGGGCATATTTGGTAAGTGGTTGATATTCAAAATATATAATTTGTACATCTCGATACACATACTGACACACACACAACACACACCAACACACACACACAAATTCGATTAAAAAATGGGCAGAGGACCTGAATAGACATTTTCCCAAAGAAGATATACAAATGGCCAACAGGTATATGAAAAGATGCTCAACATCAATAATCATCAGGAAATGCAAATCAAAACCACAATGAGCTATCATTTCACACCTGTCAGAAAATGGCTAATATCAAAAGGACAAGAAATAACAAGTGCTAAGAATGTGGAGAAAAGGGAACCTTGTGCACCGTTGGTGGGAATGTCAATTGGTGCAACCACTGTGGAAAACAGTATGGAGGTTTGTCAAAAAATTAAAAATAGATATACAATACGATCTAGTAATTTCACCACTGGGTATTTAGCCAAAGAAAATGAAGACACTAATTTGAAAAGATCTATGTACCCCTATGTTTACTGAATTATTTAGAACAGCTAAGATATGAAAGCAACTGAAGACAAATGGATAAAGTAGTAGTATACATATACAATGGAATATTACACAGGCATAAAAAAGGATGAGACCTTGCTATTTGCAACAACATGGATGGATCTAGAGGGTATTATGCTAAGTGAAATAAGATGAGAAAAATAAATACCGTTATGATTTCACTTACACGTGGAACCTAAAAGCCAAAACAAATGAACAAACAAACCAACAAAAAGTCTCTTAAATATAGAGAATTGGTGGTTGCCAGAGTGGAGGTGGCGGGGGGGGAGATATGAAAAATAAAGGGAATTAAGAAGTACAAACTTCAGTTACAAAATAAGTCACAGAGATGAAAAGTACAGCACAGGAAATATAGGTAGTAATATAATAAACATGGTGACAGATGGTAACAACACTCATCGTGGTGAGTACTGTATAGAACTGCAGAATCAATATGTTGTATACCTGAAACTAATATTGTATGTCAATTTTATTCAATTAAAAAAAGTACATTCCCAGATTATAATGATTAGAAATTTTCATTTGTTAGGACTCACTATGGGCCTGTCTGCAATGTCCACCAGGGAGGTCACAGGCTCAACTAAACATCTAGACTCACAAGACTACATGGGCCATATCTGGCACCAGTTTGTTCAGAAGGCCACTGAACAGAAAACACAGCTTGCTAGCAGAGTGAGTAACTGGCACTGTTCTTCATGGGAGTCTTCATACGATATAGCCAAGTCAAGAGATCCACATAGGTTGTGCAGAAAGCATATTGACTGAAAAGTCTTCCCACAAGAGCCAGTATCTCTTTTAACAACTATGAGCAGAGCACTCACTGTTCCCCAAAGAGCTTGCCCAATTATAAGAGTCATTACATTCAGGGAAGTTCGGATACAGCTTTCTACCCAATTGACAATTCTCCCAGTATGGATGCAATTCAACTTTCAGGGTTCATTTTATTATACATCTCTAAGCCAGGGGTTAGGAGCAATCTCGTACCAGGGGAAGTCTGACAATGTCTGGAGACAGTTTTGGCTATCACAACTGGGGGCTCTTACTGGCATCTAGTGAGAGAAGCCCAGGGATCCTGCTAAACCTCCTACAATGCACAAGACAGTGTTCTGTAATGGAGAATTGTCCAGCCCAAAGTGTCAGAAATTCCAAAGTAAAGAAATCCTGCTATAGAGAATACATAGTGACTAAGAGTACATACTTTGGAGTCACACTGACATGAGGTTAAGTCCCAGCTGTACTAGTTACTACATGTATGAACTTAAGCAAATTATTTAACCAAACCCTGAGTTTTCTCAACTGTAACATGGATATAACAATACCTATCTGATTGAATTACAGGGATTAAAAGAACACTCATCCACTTCTTGGCAGGCAATACACACTCAATATACATTTTGTTGAGAGTTTTTTTTTTTAAATTATAAATGGATGTTTAATTCTGTCTAATGATTTTTCTGCATCTATTGAAATGATGTGATTTTCATTTTCTTAATGTGTACGTTTGCAAATCATATCTGGTAAGAGATTAATATCCAAAATACATAAGAACTCATAAATATTAATAACAAAAAACAATCTGATTTAAAAATAGGCAGATTTGACTATTTTCCCAGAGAAGACATTTGAACATTTTTCCAAAGACATACAGGTGGCCAACAGATACATAAAAAGATGCTCAACATCATTGATCATCAGGCAAATGCAAATCAAAATAATACAATGATGTATCACCCCACAGCTGTGAGAATGATTATTTCTTTTAAAGATTTTTATTTATTTATTTGACAGAGAGAGACACAGCAAGAGAGGGAACACAAGCAGGGGGAGTGGGAGAGGAAGCAGGCTTCCCACTGAGCAGGGATCATGACCTGAGCCAAAGGCAGATGCCCAACGACTGAGCCACCCAGGCACCCTGTGAGTATGATTATTCTGAAAAAGACAAGACATAACAGGTGTTGCTGAGAATGTGGAGAAAAGGGAACCCTTGTGCACTGCTGATGGCAGTGTCAATCGGGGCAACCACTCTGGAACAGTATGGAGGTTCCTTAAAAAATTAAAATAGAACTATCCTATATCCAGCAACTCCTTCTGGGTATTTATCCAAAGAAAGTGAAAACACTAACTGGGAAAGATATATGCACCCTCATGTTCACTGCAGCACTTTACTTGGTTTACAACAGCCAAGATATGAAAACAACCTAAATGTCCATCAACAGATGAATGGATAAAGAAATTTATCTACACACACACACACACACACACACACACACACACACACACAAAGGAATATTATTCAGCCATAAAAAGAATAAAATCTTACCATCTGCAACAACATGGATGTACTTCGAGGGAATTATGATAAGGGAAATAAAGTCAGAGAAAGAAAAATACTGTATGATCTCTCTTATATGTGTAATCTTAAAAACAAACAAAAAGAAAATACAAGCTCAGAGAACAAATTGGTGGTTGCCAGAGAAGAGTGGTAGGTGGGAGAAATGGGTAAAGGGGGTCAAAGGTCTCCCAGATCAAAAAAAAAAAAAAAGGTCTCCCAGATCTCAGTTTTTAATACCATTCTTCAATAAAGGAACCAGGGCTTCATGGAAAAATGACTTATTCTAGAACTGGAGCAAGAAATATACAATATGGGGGTGCCTGGGTAGCTCAGTCAGTTAAGCGTCTGCCTTTGGCTCAGGTCATGATCTCCGGGTCCTAGAATAGAGCCCTGCACCCGGCTCCCTGCTCGGCAGGGAGTCTGCTTCTCCCTCTGCCTCTCCCTTTGCCCCCCTCCCCCACTTGTGCTCTCTCTCTCAAATAAATAAAATTAAAAAAAGAAAAAAAGAAATATACAAGATGAGCTTGGAGCACCCCGAAGTACTAGAAACTAGGTAAGAGCTCAAAAACAAAAACACGTTCACTGGGGCATGTCCAAGGCACCCAGGAGCCAAGTGAAAGAGCTCCCAATGGCCAAAGCTGAAACAATATGAGCAATAAATAACCCAAAGTATAAAATTAATACCCATAAACTATACTAATATACATGACTGACTCAATCAGTAAGTAAATGGGGAAGACTAGACCAATCTCTCATGCAGAAGAATCCCAAATAATTTGTGTAGATACTCAGTCCTCCAGGAGTTGGAACATAACTCTCCATCCCTTGAGTTTGGGCTCTACATAGTGAACCCCTTCCAAAGAGTAAATATGGTTAGAGGGAAAAAGAATAAATTTATAGTGGAGAAACCTGAAAGATACACCTCAGTCATGTGATCAAAGTTAACATCAGTAATGACAGGACATGTTGACAGTATGTACCTTTGAGATGATGTGGTAGAAACAGCACTTTACCTCTGTAATTTGCCTTCCCCAAACCCATAACCCCAGTCTAATCATGAGAAAAATTCTAACAGATGGGCTTCCTATAGTATACCTGACCAGTACTCCTCAAAATTGTAAAGGTCATTAAAAACAAGTCTCAGAAACTGTCACAGCCAAGAGGAGCCTAAGGAGATATGACAACTAAATGTAATGTGGCATCCTGGGTGGGATGCTGAATCAGAAAAAGGGCATTAGGCAAAAATTAAAGAAATATGATTAAAGAATGGACTTCAGTTAATGGATCTAATTAATAGATCTAATTAACATACTAATTTGTTACTAATAGGGGAAACGGGTATGGGGTATATGGGAGCTCTTTGTACTATAGTCTCAATTTTTCTGTAAATCTGGAATTGTTGTAAAATAAAAATTTTATTTAAAAAATTAAAGGAAACGGGGCGCCTGGGTGGCTCAGTCGGTTAAGCGTCTGCCTTCGGCTCAGGTTATGATCCCAGGGTCCTGGGATCGAGCCCTGCATCGGGCTCCCTGCTCAGTGGGAAGCCTGCTTCTCTCTCTCCCACTCCCCCTGCTTGTGTTCCCTCTCGTGCATCTCTCTCTCTCTCTCTCTCTTCCTCTCTGTCAATTAAATAAATAAATAAAATCTTTAAAAAAAAATTAAAGGACACTTGCCTGATGTATTCAGATTCAAAAGGATGCGTGGTAAATTTATGAAACAGAATCAGGGAGCCATTTAGTAAAACAGGATGAGATTAAGGTAAATATCAAAATGGATGAAGAGATTGACAATCTCGATTAGAAGGAGTAAAGAACAAAAGGGACATGTCATTGAACCAGTGATATGATAGACAAATCTAAAAGTCTCTCCCAAAATGCTGAGGTAAGGGAGAACAAAATTTGTGGTGAAAAACAAATTAAAATTATGGAAAATTTTTTGCAAATCAAAGGATCCATGCATATGGCAAAAGGAAAAATAATCAAAAGCACATGAGACCTTTTATGATGAAAATCAACAGTCTTCCATCCTATCCTCCTTTCTATGCCCGGGTTTACTACCAAGAAGTGATTTTTTTGGAAATTTTTTTTGTGTTATGGGAGATTTCTGTCACTTGACCTTGTAGATTAGATAAAAAAAACATTTCTACCGTCATATTTTAAATTTAAGGGCTTTTTCTTGTTCACTGATGGTTCTTCTTCCACTGCATTGTGCTTGTCTGGTTGTTGCAATTACTTCAAATTTCTTTGGCAATTCTAATATGAGTTTTCTGTTTCTTAAATTCCCTTTTATTGTGTGGTCAAGACTTCTGTTTATCTTGGTTCTTAGACATCTGGTGTTCCTTAGTTTTCTGTTCATACTTAAGAATCAAGTATTAGGGGCGCCTGGGTGACTCAGTCGTTAAGCGTCTGCCTTCAGCTCAGGTCATGATCCCAGGATCCTGGGATCGAGCCCCGTATCAGGCTCCCTTGCTCAGCGGGAAACCTGCTCCTCCCTCTCCCACTCCCCTGCTTGTGCTCCCTCTCTCGCTGTCTCTCTCTCTGTCAAAATAAATAAACAAAATCTTTAAAAAAAAAAAAAAAGGGGGCGCCTGGGTGGCTCAGTTGGTTAAGCGACTGCCTTCGGCTCAGGTCATGATCCTGGAGTCCTGGGATCGAGTCCCGCATCGGGCTCCCTGCTCGGCAGGGAGTCTGCTTCTCCCTCTGACCCTCTTCCCTCTTGTGCTCTCTCTCTCTCATTCTCTCTCTCTCAAATAAATAAAATCTTTAAAAAAAAAAAAAAAAGAATCAAGTATTAGGGTGACTATTCCAGAGAGCTGTACCAATTTCTACTTTGGCTGTATCAGTAGATTGGCTTTCTAATGGGCATCTACTCTGAATGGGAGATATCCTCCTGAGAGTCATGTGTATATGGGTGAGACACACAGATTGGCATGCTCTGATTTAGGGTGAGTGGGGGGAGCTGGCTGTCAGGCTGTGCCTCCCTCTCCAGATAACAGAGTGAAAAGGTTTTACTTTGAAAGGAACATCCACATTAAAAGCCTTAGTTCTCCTCAGACGGTTTATTCAATTTATTTAGGAAAAAACTTTTTGTGGGAGGAAGGCACTTTAGCTGAACTGCTTCTTTATATAGGTGGGAAGGGGAACAGGTGGGGAAGATGGGGAGATGACTGAAAGAGAGGTTTCACATGTAATCCTTCACTCAAGTCCTCTACTCTATTGGATTCTCACTCCCACACCGTGTTGGAACTTCTGAGACTCAGAGGAAGCTTCCACCTCCACTGTGGTTACCTCACAGTACATTCTAAGTTGTGGCCCTTTCTACAGTTCCTTAAAAACTGTTTCTCTCCACTCACCATCTTGTAGAGTTAGAAGGTGCAAGGTATGGCTGTGACTGCGAGCTTAAGGGGTCTGTAAGCGATGAACACTGGAATTAAAGTCAAGAACGGTTAAAGCACTGAACGGACACCTTTCAGGACGATGGTGGCAGTCCGAATGAAGAGCTAAGAGTGTGAGCCAGTACCACGGGAAGGGAGGACTCAATAAGGCGCAGGTGACAGGAATCTGGAGCATTAACCACCTAGGTGACACAGGTTCAAAGGACTGTAGAGCACTGAGGAAACTGAACAGGTGCCAACTGTGCGCTGGTAGTATCTGTGGGCAAAGAGGGTTGTTTCAACCAAACAGCTGATAGGTAGGGCCACAGCTTGAGGTAAAAACAGCCTTTGTTGAATAGTGCAGATAAAGGGGCGCAGAAGCAGTTTGCAAATGAAGCGTCCGAAAATAAGGAAGATGCCTTGAAGTTTTATGTTTGGAGGACTGGCTAGGAACGCCTAGGAAGGAAGGTAAGCTGGAATGAAGTTTTCTCCAGTTTCTTTTCCAGCTGATCGATCCTGCCACACTCGGTATTTCCACGAGGAATCAATACCAGTCATTCCCAAACCCACTGGTGAAGCCACTTTCATCAGGTCGAGCGCCTGGAGGCTGCCCTCCGTTGCAGAATGGAAGAGAGGCCGGCGCTAAACGCTGTGTACCTGTGCTCTCCAGCGCACTGACTTCCTTCTGCAGCCCACGCCTCCCCCGCTCCCAGTGCCCGGCTCCAGGTGGTCCCGCAGAGACTGCGGAGCGCCGCGCCGGAAGCCGCCTCACTGCGAACCAGCCGACGCCCTCAAGCGGGATTCCCAATTCCGCACACCCGCGTCCTCACCGCCCGCTGACCCGGTGATACCTGCGGGCACCGCTCCCAGCGGGGGCTCCGTTCAATCACACCCAGGCGCCAGATCCGCCAGGAGCTGCCGGCCTCGCGGGCGGAGGGAGCCGGCGTGGGTAATCAAGACACAGTTAAGCAGCCGTGACCACCCCTGGCCCTTAAACGCCGCTGCCAGATTCGTGTCTCGGAAAAGCCGAGGCGCACCCCGCCGCACGCATGCGCACCACCCTTGGAAAGGGCCCCCAGCAGCCCTCGCGGCCCCAGTCCGCGGACTAGATGGGGGTTTCTGCAAGTTCCGCCCCCTTCCCCAGAGCCCGCCCAGCCCGTAGACTGGCGTCCAATCCTAGGGCCAGGAATGGGTGGATGGGGGCCTTGGTCAGGAAGGCGGTGAGGGTGAGGTGCAGGGAGAATGGCCTGTCAAACATTCTTAGCTTCCCCCAACCCATCCCGGATAACTGGCCAAAATCTTCCTCACCTTCTCCGTGCTACTCCCACCCCATTTGCGTGGAACCAAAAAACATGGCAGAATTTTGAAAAGATACCGATTTGTGTCTAACATGTTTTTCACTGATTGAGTCACTCATTCATTCCCTCTGTTTTGCGTCCAGATAAAAAGTTTTGCGGAAGCCCGTGAGTTCAATTTTGGCTTGCTGAGTATGAGATACTTTGTGATGTCCAAGAAGCATTATCAAATAGACATGGATAGAAGTGTCTGGAGCTTCGAGGGGTCTCGGGCAGAGGTATGAAATTTGTGTCAATTCTGGGTAGATGATAGTTGAGGCTATGGGTGAGGATGGCATTGCAGAAGGAAAGAGAAAAAGCGAAAACGCTAAAAGGAGAAGGTCCAGGATTGAGTCCCAGATGAAGAACTCAAACTAGTAAATCAGGGAAAGCCTCTCTGGGACAGAGCTTTAAATCTAGACCATGAGTTGAACAAGGTAAAACAAAAGGGGAGCTAGAAGATTTTTTGCTAACTTCCTCTCTGCTCACTACTGTCTTAAGCAAATTAGAAATACTGTCTCATTCATCACCACAACACTATGAGGTAGAGATTATCATCCCCCAGTTTTTGGAAATTAAATCTGACAAAGCTAAGCCCCAAGCTCAGATCACTTCTTACTTGTACCCACTGCTGTTCACTCAATACTTAAATATTTAGGGGGCCATTAGTAAGTTATTGCAGAATTATGGATGGATATTTTCCAAGTTTGGGGGTATAGTGTGTGCTATGAATTGTTTGTGATGAGGTTGACCTTTATAAAATTCATATTAAAGTAGCTAGGCAAAATCAGAAATTTAACTTGTAAGTATTGCTAGTACATAGGCTCAAACATGTTTTATACCCAATAAAGAGCAGGGAAGTGGAAAAGACACAAAGTAGGAAGGAGAATGACCAGCCTTTCTCTCTTACCTTATGGATATGAGGTTTCTGACCATGTGCCTTCAAAGGTCCCCTGAAGCACTGAGACTGCTGTCTAAGTGAACAGGGTAATTTTCAGGTTGCAGGCACTTCACTAAAGGTCCAGATATATTTTAATGGAACAATCTTGTAAGATTTCTCTCAATGTATGACTTTTACTGTAAAGGTAAAGGACTCTGAAGCTATCTGGGACTTGATCCTTGAGATGCATGCAATTGTTTGCTACAAACTATGTTTCCTTGTAGCATCATGACATCCAGATGTTCTGAATTAGAACCTGTCTGTATTTATTTAAGAAAAAGTACAGAGAAAACTTACTTGAGCCAATACATTTCCTAGACCACATAGTTATTCAGCAAATTTTTATTGATGATCTAATATGTGGCAGATATTATACTAGCTGCAGGGAATACATCAGTAACACAATCAGATGAGGACTATCTTAATGCCCAACAGAAATATTCCCTGTGCTAAGCTACTGTATCTCTTCACTCAACATTTTGTGTTCTACACATCCTCAGAATATTGTGTTATGTAGATTATGAGTTACACTGGTCAGTCTGGAATCTGTAGGTAGTCAAGACATTAGTGGGGGGGGATTTGGTTTCATAGGCCATCTGTAGTGGACATTCGTCAATTTTTGGCTTCTGATCATTTGAGTACCCTTTCCGTATTTATAGTCATCTGGGAGTGTTGGGCTAGTTAGAGCCTGTCTCCCTCCATACAAGCTGAATCCACTTGAAATTCACTTTGTCTTCACTGCAGCTAGGGTATAGCATGTGACTTGGACTTAATCAATTAGATACTCCCAGTCTAGTCTTTGAATTAGGAGCTTGAGATGAAAAAGCAAGGACAGCAAACCACTTCTTATCTTTTTAAAAAATAGACTTTATTTTGTAGATCAGTTTTAGACTTACAAAAAAACTGAGAAGTACCCTGAGTCCTCATATACCCTCTTTCCCCTACTATTGACATCTTACATTATAATTATGATATTTGTTACAATTAAGAAAATCAACATTGATACCCCAATATTTTCTTTTAGGATTTTATTTATTCATTTATTTATTTTAGAGAGAGCATGAGCAGGGGGGAGGAGCAGAGGGGAAGGAAGAGAGACAATCCCACACAGACTCCAGTACAAAGCCTCATGTGGGGCTCAATCCCATGACTCTGAGACCCCGAAACCATGACCTGAACTGAAACGAAGAGTCAGATGCCCAAGCAACTGACCACCCAGATGCCCTATTGACACATTATTAACTAAAATCATGGTTTATTTGGATTTCCTTTTTTTTTTTCTTTTTTAAGATTTTATTTACTTGAGTGAGGGAGAACAAGAGACCAGGAGCAGGGCCTGGGAGAAGGGCGGGGGAGCAGAGGGAGAAGCAGACTCTCCCTGCTCAGTAGGGTGCCTGACCCAGGATTTGATCCCAGGATCCCGAGATCATGACCTGAGCCGAAGGCAGATGCTTAACTGACTGAGCCACCCAGGTGCCCCTGTTTTTTTCTTTTCTACTCTTTTTCTTTATATTTCTTTTCTGATCCAGGATCCCACCCAGGATGCCACATTAAATTTAGTTGTCATGCCTCCTTAGTCTCTTTTTGGCTGTGACAATTTCTCAGACTTGTTTTTTTCTTTTATTATTAACATATAATGTATTATTTGTTTCAGGGGTACAGGTCTGTGATTCATCAGTCTTACACAATTCACAGCACTCACCATAGCATCTCAAACTTGTTTTTGATGACCGTTACAGTTTTCAGGAGTACTGGTCATATATTTTATAAGAAGCCCACATAGTAGAATTTGTCTGATCTTTTTCGCATGATTAGACTGAGGTTATGGGTGTAGGGGAGGAAGATCACAAAGATAAAGTGCTGTTTCCATCACACCATCTCAAGGGTACATACTATCAATGTGATTTATCACTATTGTTTTAACCTTTTTTTAAAAAGATTTTATTTATTAATTTGACAGAGAGAGAGAGAGAGAGAGAATACAAGCAGGGGGAGCCAAAGAGGCAGAGGGAGAAGCAGGCTCCCCATTGAACAGGGAGCCTGACTTGGGGCTTGGTCCCAGGACCCTGGGATCCTGACCTGAGCCAAATGCAGATGCTTAGCCGACGAGCCACCCAGGCACCCCTATTGCTGTTAGCCTTGATCACCTGACTGATGTAGTGTTTGTCAGCACACAATTTCTTCCTTTCTTTTTCTTTCAGTGGCAGAAGAAGCACCAACATCCAAATTTCCGGCCTTAGTGAATCAGCAGCTCCAGCAGCAGGGCCTGGGCTGATGGTGTTGGCAGAGTAAAGTGGGCCATCTAGTGCTGAATGGCAGTGATGTTCTCATCACAACCAATGTATATGTGTGGTTCTGGCTGCAGGACCAGAATTACCATTATTTCAGTATTTTTCCTTGTAGCTTAAATCACACATGGTCGGCCTCTGTTACTTGCAACTAAGAACCCTAATCTATACATTATCTTCATTATTGTTTTTGGGTGTATGCAGGAAATTTTTTCTTTAGAAGCTTTCTGGCCATTTATTCCCTCTCCCTCCATAGCAGGAGAGATAGCATGTTTGGGGTTTTGTTTTGTTTTAAGAGAGATAGCAACTTTTGTTAGTGTGAAAAAGTCCCATCAGCATCTGTTTTGGTGGAATGAATGGGAACATAATTCTTTCAACTTTTCAGTTATTTGTTCAGTTATGTATTCACTTAGTGCCTTAAAACAGTAATTTTATTTTTCTGGAGATTCTGTGGTTTCAGAATTTGGAGTGGGGATGGCAACCATTGGTAATGGGAATAATAAAGAAATGACCATGATGTGGATGGCTGAGATCATTGGAGGAATGAAGATCAAGGACTTCTGAGAATGCAAAGTAGCTGAATATTTCATTTTATGTAAAAATTAGAATACCTAAGATCTATAACAGGAGTAGTGTGTTGGGGAAAGTGACAGTGATCCAGGGGTGAAAGTCTTCAAGAAAATGGGAGAAGTGACCTAGGAATCTAATTAAAAAAAAAAGCTCACAATCCCACTTTCTCATCCCTTACTTTTTTCTTCTTTTCCCTTTTGGTGAGACTTCTCTAAGTTAGTATCCAAATTTTCTGTTTACATTTCCTTACTTTTCCTCCTGTTACTGAAATAGATCTCATCTAGATGATCATGGGCAGCCAAGTCACCGAATTCACCTATTAGTGTTTTGTCCTGGTCTGTATCACTTCAACTAGAGCATGCTGTTTGTATGGGAGTGTTCTCTGATCCTCACAGCCCAGATTAGAGTTTGTTTATTGTAGTGCAGCTCCAGTACTTTTAAAAAGATAGTAACAAATGCAAAAATGTGTACTGAAACACACATTTCGTTGTGTGAAACACACGTCAGTCATTGCTCTGGGCATACTGGATACAAGTAGAGTTGGAGAAGATAAAATGAAATAAGAACTCAATAAATGGTTTTATAATGAATGCATGGAGGGTGCTGAGTGTCTGAGAAGTGGGTTAAGGGTCTGCCTTCGGCTCACGTCATGAACCCAGGGTCCTGGGATCGAGCCTCTCTTTGGGCTCCCTGCTCAGTGGG